ACACACACACACACACACACACACACGCTGCATTGGTCGGGAGGGAAGGACGTGGAGTGGCGCCTGCTTGTTTAGTTGGCTGAACGATTTGCCGTTCTCTTCCGCAAAGACGTTCCCGTAGGGCGGGGTTGAAACTGAAAGTAAGCCCACCTTGTCGGTTCTGCTTGATCAAACCAGACAGCAGGTTACGTAGAAGGGCAGGTTTCATAGGTCAGAGAAAAGACACCAAGCACATTTTACAAAAAATAACCTGCGTTAAAGCTGTTTGAAATTTAAACATGGGTGGCTGACGGGTACTATGGTTTGGTTCGCTTCTTCTTTGCTATCAAACATCTGTCGTCCTTATGTCACCTTTTCTTTGTATATTTCTCTCTTGTAATCTGCGGCACTTTATAGGACCGTACCGTGTTGCAAGTGCCGTAATACTCTCACCAGACTAAAACTATACGACTGAAATGAAAGTGTTTGATGGCTCCGTAGGGAGCTGAGATGATGGTCGAGAGTGGCTGGAGTGTATATTCGTGTGTCTGAACTCTGAACACCCCCGAGTTGTTTGTGCATTCCAACACTTTAGTTATTTTGAATGAACTCTTGTATATCGTCTGGAGGTGTCATCTCTGACTCAGAGTTTGACGTGTAATGACCCTCCATCTTTCACGGCCGCGAGCTAGCTGCCGTTGCACATTCTGCCATATCCAGGACAGACTCTTGTCACATGTTTGATGTGTATTATTCAACCACTTTCAAGTCCGGGAACCCCCAAATTTCAGTGCCCGTGCCTTAGACAGAAGTAAAGTACATGTAAATTTTAATACCGCCAGTGTTGGTGTCTACAGCAATCTTGACAAGATGGGGGCGGGGGACAGGGGAGGGATGGGGGGGGTTCAGCAAAGGGAAAGGTGCAGCGTGCCCTACAATCCAACACGTAGGAACAAAGAGTATAGTCAGAAAAATACAGTTGTTTAATGTAGCCCAGGAAAGCACGGAGTTGACCTTTATAACCGTTACCAACCGACACACCAGACCGGTCGCTCCGGAAAGAAATTGGGAAGGGCGTAGATAGAGAGGCAGGCCAGGATCAAAGAAACAGGGGAATTCCTGTCTGTTCATTACCAGAGGAGGAGAGGTAGAAGAAGAAGACGAAGAAGAGGAGACCAAGAAGAAGAGTTCTGGTGAACATTGTTCGAATTCCAAATTTTGGCTTTTGGTGGAGTTTTAAGTATACTTCATATTGGAAATACTCTTAAAATTAGGATGGAAGGGAAAGATGGACAAGTGGGTGGATAGGATGGAGAAGAGAGAGAGAGAGAGAGAGA